AAAAGTTTTCAATCAACAAAGCAACAATAGCCTTAAATAAACTCTAACGCTGTCATAGATACCTTATTCGAAATATGATAACGAATAAAAAGTGTAGGAAAATGAGCATCCCGCGAAACCCAAAATCATAACAATAATTGAATAATATATGATAGCAAAAAAGAACGTTGCACAAAAACCTTAGAAATGTAAGCGACATATATGTATACATTTAATGAAGGATATAAAAATATTCTCTGAATAATAATAAAAGATGAAAATTGTGTGAAAATTAAAATAAAGCTGAGCAATGAAAGCAAGATAATAAAACATAAAAGTTTCTGTATAACATATAACATATAACATAAAAGTTCCTTGTTAACAATTATAATATGAAAATCAGCAGATAAATAATATATTGATAAACATTGCAATGACTAAATATTATAATAAAACCAGATAAGTTTAGGCCAAATGAGTGGTTAAAAAATTAGTTGTGGGTAATATAACAATGGTATAATTCGTGATATAAAAATGAAGTAAAAAGCGGGAAAAAAAAAATTGTTTAGAAGTGAATTTTTCTCTACGGTCCGAACTAAAAGAAACTTTGAGACCATATCTAAATCGAAATTTCCGAAAAATTAAGTTTTCTCTACGGTCCGAATTAAATGTAATATTGAGACCTCCAAATTAAATGTAATTTATATATATATATATATATATATATATATATATATATATATATATATATATATATATATATATACACATATATATATTAATCCTTAAATGAAAAACTCAATCACACATAATTTTTTTTTCACAACACAAGTGTCCGTACATATTTCAATAAAACAAAATTACATGTTTTTACATATAAGTACAAAACGTACAATTAAACAATTTTTGTACCATTAAAATTTTTACAAGACAAATTTTACCATTAAAATTTTTACAACACAAAATTCAAAATTCTGTTCAGCGCATGCGTGTTGTACAGTGTACAAAAAAAGGTAACTATTAGTTGTTTATAATATAAAGTGCTGGCTATTAATCCATGCATTTAAAAAATATATGCAAGTCCGTGGTACGACAGGGCTACTAAGGACTTGCTTGTGGACGTTGTTAAATATATATATATAAAATTATTCTTAAAAAATATTTTTCTTTGTTGTAAGGAAACTCGCAGAAGACTTAAAATAGTCTTTTCATCGAGAACCTTTAAAACATAAGATAAACTTTAATGAACTAGTTCAAAAAATACACATAAGTATTTTGGCATCTACTATATAGTAGAAGTAGTAGGGCTTTTTATTATTACTATTTTTCCCAAATTGTTTAATACATTTCGATGAAGTTGGTTAAGTTAATTATGATATGTTTTTCAGAGCAATAAGGTTATCCATTTTATTAAGTTCCATATTTTGAAGTATTATTTTGTTATATAAGTATGGGCCACGGTATATTAAAGAAAATCGCGAGAATTTTGTTTTTTTTAAAGGCAAGGTGAAGTTGCCTGTTCCTCGTGTAATATATTTGTTTGCGTTGATATGAAAAAAGCTATCAGTAAAGTATTTGGGAACAAATCCGAGTTTGTATTTTAGCATGAATAAGATATTTTGGTAAATATTTATTTGATAGATATTTAATGCATTCAAATTATTAAGTAAAGGGTCGGCACAAGTGAATTTATCTTTATTATAAATTAATCTTGATGCATGTTTCTGATGTATGTAGAGTGAATTTAATTTAGTTTTTTGGGTACTTCCCCATGCAATATTAGCGTATGTTAGGTAACTTTGAATATAACAAAAGAAGAGAATTTTTAAGTTGTCTTGGGAAAGCATAGGTTTGGCTTTGTAGAGTACGCCGATACTTTTTGATATTTTTGTGTTTATTGTATTAATATGGGCTTTCCAATTAATATTCTGGTCAATAATTATTCCAAGAAACTTAGTTATTTCAGTTCTTTTGATATTTATGTTATCAATTTTTAGTGAAGGTAGAGTGCCTGGTATAAAGTTTTTAAGACGGTTGGAGTGAAACAAGATATATTTTGTTTTTTCTGTATTCAAAGATAATTTATTTACTTTAAACCAGATGTTGAGGTTATCGAGGTCAGTGTTCATAGATTCGTAAAGGTCGCTTATAGACGGCGATGAGTAAAATAAATTTGTATCATCAGCGAACATTATTACATCAAGATTTTTTTAGAGCTTTTGGAAGATTGTTGATATATATTAGAAATAAAAGGGGACCCAGAATGGAACCTTGGGGAACTCCGCATTTTATTTCTAGTAGGTCTGAAAATTTATTATGATCTGTAACAGCGCATTGTTTTCTGCTACTCAGGTAACTTTTGAACCAGTCAAGGGATATATTTTTAACACCATATGTTTCCATTTTTTTAAGTAAGATATTGTGATTAACTTTGTCGAACGCTTTAGATAAATCTATACAAGTTCCTAATACAAATTGCTTTTTATCGAAAGAATTACTCATGCTATTTACAAGATCTAAAATGGCATGTTCGGTTGAGTGTTTTGTTTGAAACCCGAACTGTTTTTTGTTTAAGAGGTTATTTTGAAGAAGATATTCGTATAATCTATTGTAAACTATTCTTTCAAGTATTTTAGAGAAAGTAGGCAGTATAGAGATCGGTCTGTAACTATTTAATAAAGATGTTTCGCCTGTTTTAAAAATTGGTATAATTTTAGCTGTTTTTAATTTATCTGGTACAGTACCTGTTTTAATTGATGAATTAAATATTTCGAAGATCGGTTTGCGTATCTCCAAAAAGACATCAATAACAATATTGCTACAAATATCATCTATACCTGGAGATTTATTTATTTTAAGAGATTTTATCGCAACTTCATGTTCTTCAATTTTTAGTTCGCTAAATGCTAATTCGTTGTTGTTATTAGTTAAGTATGTCTCAAATAAGTTGTTTGGACAATTAATTTTGTAGCCAGGTTAGGGCCTATGTTAACGAAAAAATTGTTAAACTTTTCTGAGATTACGTCACTACTGACATACTCTTCATTATTTATAACAACATTAGTACGTAAATTATTTGGTTTGCAATTTTTGTTCCCAATTATTTCTTTAATTACGTCCCACGTTTTTTTAATATCACCTTTGGAGTTTTTTATTTTATTTGAGTAATAATTCTTTTTTAAAATCTTTTTGATTTTTTCAAACAAATTTTTATATTGTTTGTAACCATTTAGGTTTGCTTCATTTCTATTTTTTAAGTATTTGATATAAAGTTTTTGTTTTTTTTTGGAAGATTTTTTAATTCCTTTGGTGATCCACGGACATTTTAGATGTTTTTCTTTAACTAGCATTACTTTTATTGAGAAATATTTATTATAGTTTTTTAAGGAAATGTTTTTAAAATTAGTATAAGCAGAGTTGGTGCGTCCAAGGTTACATTCTTGATATAGTTTATCCCAGTTTATTGCTGATAGTGGTTCTTTAAATTGTTGAATAGCATATTTGTTAATTTTCTTTTTATGAATTTCGATTTTACAGTCGTTAGTAGTTTTTGTATCGTGTGACAGAGAAAAGAAAATCGGAAAACGATCCGATATATCTGTTTTTATAATACCTGCTTTTAAAGTAACATCAAGAACTGTATTTGTTAATATATTGTCTATTGACGTTACTGATGATTGAGTTACTCAAGTCGGCTTATTAATAATTAAGAAGATGTAATGTTGGAGCATTTCGTCAAAAAAAAATTTAGTTTTAGCATGTTTATCGTGTTGTGCAATCAATGTTAATAATAACTGTTAATAATAAATCAATGTGACATAATAACCACATATACATAACATACAAATCTATATCTACATTTCAACCACATATTATTTATTAAAAGAAAATATTATCTAAATTAGGATGAGTTCAAACAAAGATAGTTTATCTATGAAAGAACAAAAAGCATGCAAAGGATGTAAACAGGCTGTATGTGCATTAGGATGTATAGGTGTAATGTGTAAGTCTGTGCTATTTATGTCGTTCAGTAGTCTTCAAGCCCAGCCATACTCCTGAAAACCATGATGCATTAAACACCTATGCATGGATTTATAGCTGACTTATGACTAAAAAGCTAGCCCAGGCATCTTCCAGAGACAAACATCCTCTTTCGCGGTGACAGTAATTGTGATTTGGAAAATAGTCGTGCTCAATGACTGGAACACTAACCCTTACGGGCTAGGCCCAATATTATTTAAAAACTTTGGCATATAAAATTCGCCGAATGGTCACACACGAACAGTGAACGTCTGAGGGAAGAAATGAAGTACATTAAAGTAAAGGAGAATTATTTTTTGAACAAAGCATTTTTTGACAGTTGTCAAGACAAAAATAAAGATTAATAGAGTAATATTTAAAAATGAATAAAACTGGCAATGCACCTAAAACACTACTCAACAATAATAATAATAACAGAAAAAAAAAAAATAATAATAATAATAATAATAAACATTTTTTGTTTGTGAGAGATTTCATATTAAAAATCTAACTTGTAACTTTTTTTAAACGTGCAAATAGACTATAATAAAATATAGCCTATTCACACGTGCGTGCAATTAGACTCACCCTTTTTATTTACCTTTATTATTCTTATAGCAGTAAACAACCGCGTTTATTCTTATAGCAGTAAAAATACGCGTTGTTAGTAAATAAAATTAAAAAAAAACCGCGTATAGAAAAGCCTAAAAACTACCTTAAAATAGAAAAGCCTAGAACATGACGTAATTCGACTAATAATATTAAATTAGCGTATTAATATTATCAGATTTACGTATATAACTATTATTTACTTCTAGTTTTATTAATTAAGTCTCGACTCTTTTTCTGTTTCGGAATGTTAGGCAAATTTAGTTTCAAAATAATCAATATTTCTGTTTATCTCAACCATTTAAGCGACTATGCACTGTTGGTCTTCTCCAGAGGCGGAGCCATCATTTTTGTTGCATACTTTTAAAAGTAAATTTTTGTTATATAAACAG